TATATGTCTATACTTACTTATAATTCGCTAGGATTCCTGCTTGCTGGAAGTTCTTTCTCGTTGTCTTGGCTCTCGTGCCAAAACTTGTTTAATGAAAATAGGTATAAATTTCCTATCTTAAATCGCAATTCTTCATACTTAGATTCTTAAAATCTAATTCCAAACTCGTTTCTGAACCTTTTTTCCCTCTAGGCCGAATCATAGTTTAAGAGGTAAATTACACATATTTGTGTATCTCAGTTTCTAAACCTTAATATGTTCATTTCTGAGCTTTAAAACTATTATTCATTCTCTAGAATCAATTACTATCTCATTGCTTACTAACTAACTTTTAGGAAATTTTGGCAGAGTTTCGCCTTATTTTTCTCGTTTCCCGAGTTTTCAATAACTCGTTCTACTTTTGATTTCGATACCTGGAGTCAAGATTTACATTCCTGAACACAGATTCTAACATAAAATTGAACAAAACATATGTTCTTTCTTAATTTAGGCTCACGGATTTTCAATAGAAATCCACCAAAACTTCATTCAATCGTCTTAATACGGACACCATTAAACTCTTACTACGATGCTCTACAAAACCTCAGTTTTAATTTTCACTTTAACAAAAGTTTTTCTGAGATGGGTTACTATTCATCCAAATCAAGAAAACATAGAATTCTCACGAAAAATCTGAAATCTTACCTCCAGAAATTGAGATTTTTTCGCTAGAACACCCCAGGTTACGTTTCTACCCGACTGAACGGGAAAAATCTCAATAAAAATGCTTGATTTTCCTTCCTCCATCTCACTCTAGAAACTCTCTTTTTTTTTTCTTTCTTCGTAACTTCCTCACGTCTTTTTTTTTTCCTCTGCTATACTTCACGTGAAGTAAGTAATACCCTTGTAACCAACGTGAATATTCATTACGTGAGTCATCAAGCTAGAGATACTTTCACGTAGCCAACATTGAGTACATAGCCAGCATGAGTCACCCTTCAACTTAGGTTTACGTAATGACACATGGTGTTAATGCATGTGAGGTTCCACCTCACGATAACTATACTTTTCACCTTTTTTTTTTTCTAACGTAAATATATATATATATATATATATATAACTTAAAGATAATTTAATATATATAAGTATATATATATATATATTAAAACTTTGTTCAACCTACTTTTATTCTTTGTTATATCTAAGATACGTGCTACCAAATGAGTGGGTTCTATACTCCTCACATTTTTCTTGTCGAGACCTAACTTTCCGTTTCTCAAAACGAGTCTCTTTCCGGTACTAATAATTTCACAATCAGTACAGGTTCTATACTAATTTTCTGGACTGTCAAGTACCCTGGGTCAAACTTCTCATGTTCAACCCAATTCTCTTGGGTATCTCATTAGTCAATTTCTTTTTCTGAAATTTTCATTTCAATCGATCCAGAATTGCCCAAAATCTTACCCTCGCGGCATTAGTTTTTTTAGCAGTTTCCCACTTTAACTGACTCGGGAAAATTCTGTTTCAGGAACTTTTGTTATTTTCCTTACTTCTAATATTTCCACTCTTTTTCTAGCTGGTCACTTGGTCACAAACCAAACATTTTAGTTTTTCATAACTGAAATATACCCGCTAGAATTTCTAACCTTTAACCGATATTTCACTATTCATAACTGATATTTACAAATTTTCTTAGTAAAAATATTTGTATTATAACTTTACACATTTCGGAAAATTTTACTCCGTATATAAAGTTTTTACATAACATTTTCCTTGATTACATCAAAATCCTACTACTTACTATTCCGGAAAGGATTTCGGTCAAGTACTGGACTGTCCGGATTAGACCTAAATTTTTCTCGGTCATTACAATATATATCTCTTTTGTCTTTTTTACATTAGCATATATGATGTTGGAGTAAAATTTCGTCCAACATCCTAAATTAGAAATTTTAAATAAATGAATGAGTAATTTAAAGAAATTGGATGAACATTCTTAGAACGCAAATAACCTCTGAAAAAGTAACAAGAACAAAGTGAAGACAATTGTATTTAGGAATGTGTGCCTTGTAATTATCTTCACTTTGATCTTCTAGCAGCAAAAATGTTGGGGGCAAAATTTTGTCCAACACATGATATCTGTCCCTCTAATTTGATTACTATATATCTAAATTTTGCAGGCAAAGGGACACCAGCAACAGGAAACCCTAAAACAATTGGTAAGCCGTAATTGCAACCAGAAATTAAGTCCAACAAGGCCTGATCCTTCCTGTAATAGGAGGTTTGGGCGCTATTGCCGGCCGCCTCCTAATTCAAGCCCCTAATTTATGGCGCGAATTAATAATCAAGTCACGCCATACGTGACTAGCTATTGTCAGCTGCTACTACAATATTATTAGTATGTGTGTCTGCTTAATTAGTAATTAATAATTATATCATCCTATGTAAGCCAGTACTTGTTAAGAACAAGAAAATAAAATGTGAAGTGGGATTATGTGTACATTCAGGGCCTGTTTAGTTCGCTGGTTCGAGTTTTTAATTCGAGATGAAATGTGACTTTATGCGAGAGCTTTTTTTTGTAGCAAAAAAGTTAGATGTGACTGTTTCTGAGAGCTTTTTACTATAACAAAACTCGAATCGGTGAAATGAACACACTCTTAAAACTGGTTTGTAAGGATTAAGGACCCAAAGACTCAACACCCACAAAACCAATATAAGCCTAGACTCAAAGAAAAATGTGTACATGTATAGATAATATTAAATTATAATATTAATATATATACATAACCACGCTAAAAATTAAAAATTTAATCTTATGTTTCCTATTAAATTTTTATCTTTCTCATCAACCCATAACCCAATAATTATCTTATATTTAAGCCATGTGCATTGACTTAAATTTCCTACAAATGGACAAAGACTTGATCAGCAAATGGATGAAGGAACAATGTTCTAGTGGCCCCAAAGAGGCCACCTTCATTTGGGGAAAATAATTCTAGTCCAATAATTGATCAACCATTAATTGCGCAAAATGCTAATACTTTCCGATACCAATTTACCAATTATGGAAATTTTTATATGCTGATTAAGCTCTCAAACTATGAATTATATGCTTCTTCGGTTTAGTTTTCTTGTTCTCCTGGAAGAATTGCTTCGGGCTTTCAAGGTAGAGGGTCATCAGTCCAAAAATAAAAAATAAAAAATAAAAAAAAAACCATGTGAATTATAGTCTAGTTATTTCATTTAAAAGTGTACGAGTGTAAGCAATTTGAAGACCAATAAAGAACAAGAAGAATGAAATGCAGAAACGAAAATAAAACCAGCTGCACAAAAATAGAAAAGAATTATCTGCATCTCGGAGTAATTGTATGTTATAACGTAACCAGCTTTGCATGCTAGGAAGATAATTGGTCTTCAGTTCCACTTTCACTTTCATCATGTGATGATCATTGTCTCCCAGTCTTTATCTCACCAAGACTGAATTTTGCCAACAATAATGTTTTAAGTAAAAAAGTTTGGTATCATGCAGGATTGCAACCAAAATCTCTCGGCCATTTTCAAGCATTGAGTGATGATCAAATTAATCTGGACTTTTGAAATCTGATTTTTTTTTTTTTTTTTTTTTTAGATAAGACCCAACAAGATTTGACGTCCAAATCGATTTGACGATGCACCATCTAATGGACCCGAAAAATATATAGTAGCATTGCATAATGTGGTCAGAAATGGTGGTCTACTTTTTGTTAGATTCAAAAGATTATCTCTTTTGATTTGCACTTTCCTTTTTCTCCAACTTTTTAGCTGCCCTCGTTTTCTCCTTTCTACTTCACGTGAATCACAGATTAAAAGTGTTCGCGGTTAGTTTGGACCCTTTTTTTTTTATAAAAATTATTGTCTAAATTAAAAATAATTGTTTTTTTTAGCGGTTTGGATGGTTTGATTTTTTGACAAAAATAAAATCAAATCAAATCACTAATAAGCGGTTTGGACGATTTGAATTTAAGACTAAAAAAGTTTTCAATAATTCACAAAAATAATAAAACCGTTTATCCATAAAAATAAAAATAAGGTTCAAGTTTACAATATAATTTAAAGATTGTAAATGTCTAAAAGTTCACCATTCAAAGTTTTAAAACAAACTAATAAAAATATTATAGAGTGTATTTTATAATTGTAGAACCTCTATTATGACCAATAAAAATTAAAATAAAGAAAAATAATATTTTAAAAAAAATTGTATATGTGTATTTTTAAGCGGATTATTAGGTGATTTTAGCGGTTTAAGGAGTCCAAACTATAAACTAAACCGCCCAAAAAAATAGACTAAAACACCGACTAAAGTGCCTAATAATTTTAAAAAAAAAAAAATTAACGATAGGTTTGATTTGAATTAAGCGATTTAGGCAGTTTGACGGATTTTTGAACACTCTTATATAATTAGGGTTGCTTGTAACAGTTCCCATGAAAATTGTTTTAGGAAAAAGGAGATAAACACCCCTTAAAAGTGTATGGTTCAGGATTTCTACCTATTATTCTTGATTAATAACTTTTTTAGTCAAATAACTATATTAGTATAAGGGTATTAATTAATAATGAGGGGTAAAAATTTAGACCGATGCACTTTTTTTAAGAGTAAATTCTGCAATTTTTTCTTTGTTTTGTTTATATATATATATATATATATATACATACTTGCATATAAAACTTCTATAACGTCCACAATATTCCAATATCCTAAAGGAAGAGGTAAAATGTCTGAAAACAGATAAAAATAAACATAAAAGAAGTAGGATTATAAAATGTTAACTATTATAACAGAAGACCTATAGCTTGACTAGGAAAAGACGTGTATCCTGTTGGTTTGAAACCGACCTTCCACTAAAGAGATATAGAAGTGGACAGAGATATAGTAGAAGCCGTTAGATATTTTATTTTGGGAAAAGACCAAAACGGGTAAGCAAAATGAGAAAAAAAAAAAAAAAGAAAATCTCCTCAGCACCTTGCCTTTCGCACTTGAGCATACTACAATAAATAAGTGAAGCATGGGATAAAGTTTAAAGACAAGCAATAACAACTTGAGTGTCTCCAAAGATGAAGCAGGTTCTTTTCGTACTAAGCATTCTCTTGGCTACCATTATCTTCTTTCCCAATTTTATCCTAGCTCGACAACTAACTGCAGGTAATGATTAAGTGCTAATTCTATCGAATTTTTTTTTCTTTTTGAAGTTATTAATAACACAATTAAAAAGTATTAGAATGATGAAATTCTATGGTATTTCCAGTTATGTTTATGATTCATCACGTCTATAGATCATATTCACATGGTTTATGCTTAATAATTTTCATACGCTTTTTTAAAGCCAATGAAATGATCATGTGATAATTGATGATTATTAATTTATGATGCAGAGGATAGAAATTTCCACAACGTTCCTGCATCTCCGGCAATGAATCCACATCGGAAATGCGGCCTAGGCGACAAGAATTCACCGTGCCACCCAAACAAGAATTCACGGCAAAGCCCGCCAAAGCCTGTGTGTCGCCCATATTCGCGCAATTGCCGACCTTGATCAGGCTTTTCATGACTTGATCAATCAGAAGCATCCACTTAGAGACTTTTCTTCAGGCTTAAATTAATAAAATTCTCTGGCTACTATGAGATGTACAATACGTTGAGCGTGCATGTACATGTTGTGTCTGTTTGCTTGGTATATTTTAATCATGTGAACAAATGGCTGAGAAATATTAATAGGGTAATATGGTTTGCTGTGATATATGTGAGAACTGACGTACCATGTACTTCTAATACCCTTCAAGTCAGTAAAGAAGAGCTTCATGACATCTACATCCTTTTTAGAAATCATGATTATTACAAATTAAGCTATGCATTTGTACAAGTCAAACAAAAAAAAGTGTATTTATGGACGCTAATAATTCTTGACGCTTTTATATGGTTATAAATATTAAGATTTCCTAAATTGAAAATTGAGTTAAAAAAAAAATCAAACTACTAATCAAAGTTATGATATATAAAATATTAACTTTCCCTAATACTTATTCCTTTCTTACATTTCCTAAGTGTGCAGTCCGTGATCCACTAGCAGAATTACTAGAGTACTACTACAGGCCGAGAGAAGGTGAAATTTAAATAAACTTTAAAATGAAATAGATCACAGAGAGATCCCAGAGCTCCAGTATATAGCTAGCTTCGTTGTGACTGGAAGCTTATAACAGAATGTTGCAATTTCCAGTATTGGGATTTTTTTTTTTTCCCGTTCTGGATGAATTTAAGCTTGGGTAGTGCGCATCATCTGAAGAGAATTTTGGGGAAGATTTTGATGAGTTTATGGATGGTAAGAAAGACAGAGTTGGGAAAGTTGAAAAGAGAGAGTTTTCAGTAAAGTAACTGAAGTAGAGGTTTAAAAGAGTGTTAAACGTGAAGTGGTATTTTAAAACAAGTGTTAAAAATTGATTGCAAAAATAAAAGAACGAGAAAAGAAAAAAAAAGGGACAGACGATCTTATAGTCCCACGACCATGCAATGGGAAAGGGCAAGCAGCCATATATATAATTGCAATGTGAACCCACGCAAGTCTTGTGAAAATAAAAGTCTCCGCGGCCATATGACTAGTGCAGCTACTATGTGTCTACTTAATTAGTTATATATATCATCATGCATGTAAGCCAATGCTTGTTAGATACAATGCGTGAGAAATTTACAAGTATTCAAATGCAATTTTATTAATTAGGAGTAGATGCCTAATTCTTTACTTCCTTCCAGAGTAATAAAATCGGAGAAAAGGAAGCAAACAAGTAAATGCAAGATTTATACATTCACTTTCACTCTCAACGTCGACTCGCGTATTAACTATGCCTTAAGGTAATAATTAGTCTCCACACAACAATTTTAAAAATTAAAATACTTACGTACTTACCTTTAAATTTAATTTGGTTTTAAATTTTGGCAAAATATTTAGGCCCGGGCTTAGGCTCGATTTCTTATATATATGGTAGGTTGTAAGAAATCAGTGGGAGAAAATCGCAAGCTTGATATCCTAAAGAGACTTCCTCTTTCCTGCCAGCTAATAATACATACCAATATAGTTTTACAAATTGTTGATGATGGTACTATGTTTTTGTTCTTTGCTGTAATTGTGGTCATTATACATGAAAGTGAAGCTATCTTTTATTGATTTCCATAGTAGTACTATATATTAATTAAAAGCACATGCTGATTAATTTAATTACACTATACAGCAAAGCTAGCCTTTGTAAATTAAAACATATATATATATATATATATAAACCATAATATTCTGTAACATCATAATTTCGACCCTTTATTCTTCTTTAATTAACCCTTTAATTGTAATTTTCGGGACTTTGGAGCATATGCCAACAAAATCCGACATTAACTAGACATGGAATTGAGAATGAGTATAGAAAGCCCTGGGCTACTCCTTCTAACGGGTTAACCTTGCTACAACGACAACATGGACAAACCAAATTTTCCAAAGAACGTACGCCTACAACAAACAGAAAAAATATAGAAGAACATTGATTCCTTAAATTCTCCAACAAAATGGGACAAAGACTTGATCAGCAAATGGGTGAAGGATCATTATTCTAGTGGGCCCAGGTGACCTTCTTTGGGAAAAAATTCTAGTCCAATAATTGATCAACCATTAGTTGCACAAAATGCTAATATGTTTTCGAATACCAAATTACCAATTATGGAAATTGTTATGTATACTATCGCATATAAGAATAAACCCCTCTTGCCGAAACGTTAAAGTTTTGAATTATCTCACTAAAACGTTGAAGATGGAAGAGAAGATAATCTCCTTGTAGTATTATTCTTATGTTTTCTTCCTTTTCTAGCTGACAATATCGCCTATTATTATTATTATTATTATTATTATTATTATTATTATTTATGGTTCACGTGAATCACGTATGCCTGAATTCCACACAAGCACAGAAGACTGAAGTATAATAATTGAAGGGGCACAGATAAACATATATAAAAAGTTAAAGTAACAAAAAGACATTGATCTTGTAATGTTTGTTAGAGGAGACCTTGACTAGCTAGGGAATGATCTGGCTAGAGCTTATCCATTAAATTTAATCTTATTATAAATGAAAATGACTATACTTATGTGCTAAATCATATTTTTACTGTGGGTTGAAACTGACTCATCCCTAAATTAAGCTACCACGTTGTCGTTATGTAACCAAAAGAGATGACATAGAGAATAAACTTAAGACCCGTTTAGTTCGCTGATTCGAGTTTTTAATTCGAGTTAAGATGTGACTTTATGTGAGAATTTTTTACTGTAGTAAAAAAGTTAGATGTGACTGTTTTTAGAAACTTTTTACTGCAGTAAAACTTGAATTCTAAGCTCAAATCGGTTAAATGAACGAGACATTACTTTCTACCTAAGATTGTACAAGTCAGTAGATAAAATTTTTTTAAAAAAATTTTATCAGATATATACGTACGTCATGTGAATGACGTAACTTAAAACATACATCATGATATATATGCTTGAGCAAGGGGCTATATAAATAAGAGAGAGAGAGAGTTTTCTTTTACCACACACACAAACCAAATATTCTAAAAGATGAAGGCATATTTCATTCTCTGCGTTCTCTTGGCTTCCATTCTCTTCTTTCCCATTTCACTTCTAGCTAGAGAATTAGCTAGTACTGGTGGTGAGAGTGCAGGTAGGACGCTACTTTCCTTTTTGCTAATTTTTGTTTCAACTTAAATATTCACTTCTTGTGATATATGACTATATATATATATGTGTAACATATGCTGCAGGAAAATCATTTTAATTTTCATATAACACTGCTAAAGGAATATGCAACTCCTAGTTATATTTAGCCTTACTCGGATTTTAGGTCTCGTTTATTTCACCGATTCGAATTTTTAGTTTTAGGTTTCTACAGTAAAAAGCTCTCAGAAAATATCACATCTAACTTTTTCTGCTACAGTGAAAAGTTTTCAGAAAATATCACATCTCAACTCAAATTGAAAACTCAAATCTGCGAAGTGAACGAGGCCTAAAAGTTCAAAAGAAGTATGCCGATCTTCTCAAGATGTTGCTTAATGGAACCTCCAATATTCTTTCCACGTAAAGTGCTACTTAATTTTTTATTTTTTATTTTTTATTTTTTTTTATTTTTTTATACACAAGCACAGTTACACAGAATCCCTCCGGGCAGTTCGACCTCAAAGACCCAAGAGAGGAGTACATATTAGACTCATAAATTATAAATAGGCCCCATTAAATTACAATTTTAAGCCAATTGTTGGCTGAAAGAGAATTCGTGACACTTATGAGCCACTTGCTTCTCTCACTCCCCATAATTGAGTCTGTTGTTTAGCATATTTAATGTCTTTTCATATGTATATATTGGCAAATATATACATATATATATATATTATTTTTTTTAAGTTGTTATGTGGTTAACAAAATTTTGCAGATGGCACAGTGGCACCAGCAGCAGGCAGCCGTGATAGGCCTGGACTGCCATGCGGCCACGGTGGAAAGGGAAAGCCGTATAAATGCCCTATTGTAAGACCACCAAAGTGCCGGTACAAGCGCTGCCCACCTAGTTCAAGCCCTTGAATTAGAGACCGACCATATATATATACTATGAAAATAAAATCACGATTGTGTGACTACTAGTTGTCAGCTACTGCAATATATAGCATGTGTCTGCTTAGTTATAGTAATATATATATCATATTTCGTGCAAGCCAGTACATGTTAAGAATATTAAGGAGACAAAATGTGTGGTTGGATTATGGATTAATGTTTGCCAGCAAGGGCTTCAAGCTTGCAGCGTGTTTAAACGTTTGTTGTGTAATGGAAAACTGTACTGTAATTTCAGTATACTACACCATAACAAATAAATAAATAGCTGACTTATACGTCAGTGGTTTGTACATCTCTTGATCGGACTGACTACACCTCTTCTTTTAATTAAAAAACTTTTTCCAAATTTTTTTGAGAATAAAGAGACAAATTAACCCCTTAATTTGCACGGTCTTGATTTTTATAATTTATTCTTAATTTATATCTTTTTTAATCATATAGCTATATTAATCAAAAGGATATTAAGAAAAATAAGAGGTAAAAATTGAGCCCCATGCAATTAAGGGTAAATTCAGCAATTTTCTCTTTTTTTGATGCACAAGTTGAAACAGTCCAAAGCCGATATATACCTTCGATTCTTCGTGTACTTTTTCCGATTAGTAACTATACATTTCTCGATAAGGAAGACAAAATCGAGCTCGATAAGAATTAAATCTAACTCTTTTGAAATGGAAACATATGTGTATCTAAGGAAAAACATATCTTTATTTATTTATCTATTTATTTGAGATGGAAACACATATGTGTATCTATAATAGAAAGATAAAGATTAAAAATGAATAGATCAAATGAAAAGAACATATCTAGAATTAAATCTGACTCTTTTGAAATGGAAACACATATGTGTATCTAAGTAAAAACGTATCTATTTATTTGAAATGGAAACACATATGTGTTTCTTTAATAGAAATTAAGATAAAGATTAGAAATGAATATATGAAATGAAAAGAACATATCTTACTAAGAAATTTAGTGAGGAGATAAAATGCCTGAGAAATTTACAAGTATTCAAATGCAATTTTATTAATTAGGAGTAGATGCCTAATTCTTTACTTCCTTCCAGAGTAATAAAATCGAAGAAAAGGAAACAAACAATCAAATGCAAGATTTATAGTGGTTGGCACTTAATATCAAAGTCACGTCCACTTTCACTCTCAACGTCGACTCGCGTATTAAC